TAATAATTAGCATCCTTTTACTTCAATTTGAAGAAGTGCTTTAACATTGCTTGTAAGGCTGTCCTAGTCCTTCAGCTTTTGTTTGTCTGGAGGACTCTATCTCTCCTTCAGTTCTGAAGGACACTTTTGCTGGGTAGGATTTTATTCTCTTCTTATTTTAATTTCTGTACTATCTGTTGTGTTGTCCTCTTTTATTTTTGATATTGTTAATTTGTATCTTCTCTCTTGATCATTCCAACAAGAGGTTTATTAATTTTATTAATTTCTTTTTAAGACACTACCTTTTGGTTATAGTTTTAAAAAAAATACTGTTTGTCTGATTTCTGTGTCATTGATTTCTGTTCTATACCATTTCCTTCATTTTAGTTTTTTGGGCTTAATTAACTCTTTTCTTTCTTCTTAAAGTTTAAGTTTAGGTGTAAGCTTTGATTTTATACTTTTCTTCTTTTCTAATATAGATACTTAGTTTAAATTTCCCTTAAGCACTGAGCTGCATTCCACTAGTTTTTATATATTTTTGTTATTACATAGTCCAAAATATTTTCTAATACCCCTTGTGATTTCTTCCTTGATTTGTGGGTTATTTTAAAGTGCACTGTTTAGTTTCCAAAATTTTGAGGTTTTAAAAAATATCTTTGTTTGAGTTCTAATTTAATTTTTGTGGTTACAGAAAATAGTCTGTGTTGATTTAAATTATTTTGAATTTATTGGAAATTATATAGGCCTGCATACAGTCCATTTTAGTTAAAGTTCAATGCATGCTTGAAAGAGAGTATATATTCTTGCATTCTGGAGTGTAGTGTTCTGGGGGCGAGGATATAGCTCAAGGGGTAGAGTGTATGCTTAGCATGCCCGATGTCCTGGGTTCATTCCCCAGTACCTCCTCTGAAAATAAATAAACCAAATTACTTCCCCAAGCAAAAAAAAAAAGAAAAAAAAAGAGTTGTTAGTGTATAGTGTTCTATACATATCAGTGAGGACAAGGGGATTGATAATATTTTCTAAGTCTTCTGTTTCTCCTACTTTGAAGGGATGACTCTTTGAGGGTACTCTACTAAATGTCCTTTACATTTGATAAGGTCTCTTCAACTCATGGGATGATGAGTGAGTCCCAGCCATGTGTACCTATGAGAATTGTTTGTCTTACAGCTTCCCAGTGTTTGACTTTCCCCAGATGTTGTTCTTTGTCCAGCTTCGTAGTGTTTCACATTACAAGTGTACAGATTAATATTCAACCAGAAACTCAAGAAAGCCCTATGTATACTTCCTTGTGTAACTCTTACAGTCTTTTCCACAAAATTCTGACCATTTTGGCCTCTCTGAACTCCAGTTTCTGTCTCCTCAGTGAGGTCACTTGACTAATATTTGCAATCCCAACCCTACTCTGGATTCTGATAATTTCCTCTATGCAGAAACCAGGCGATAATAAGGACTACTTATTTTGTCTCACTTTTATCAGGAATTACAGTGCTGGTCTGCTTATTATTCAATGTCAGAACATAGTTGTTTCTAATATTTTTGTTCAGTTCTGGGTATTTGGAGCATGAGTATAATTATGGGCCTTGTTTCTCTCATGTGGCCAGAGCAGAAGTACTGTCTTTCTTCCTTTTCTTTCTTTCCTTTCCTTGCTCTCCATCCCTTTCCTTTCTTTAAAAATATTGATCTTTCCTTTAGTGCTGTTATACACAAATGAACAATTGTCAATTAATACATTAGATGGTATGTGTTTTTTCTGCTGTACATGTGTTTTCTTTTTCCTAAAGGGCTGACTGAAGCTATGTGCTCATGTTGACTGACAGGCTTCACTTTAAAGAATTAGGTAGGTTGGGGGTCTGCCAGCGAAGATCCCTGCAATGGGGTGCCAACCCATATCGTAGATACCTTTCACATGTGGAGATGGGAAAGTTGGGAGGGCTCAACTGGTTCAGGCATTCCTTTTCAATCCTCTAATTAATTTTGTCAAATAATGTCTAGCATTCCATTCCTTGCTCCATACCTGCCCCCTCTTTGCTTGGAGCTTCCCAGGAACTCTACCAAGAAGACTATATCCAGTTCTTTTTATAGCCTTCTCCTGAGGGGTATTCTGGACTAGAGTTTTTATTGGTCTAGTTTATCCATTAATATGATTGTTTCTTCTTTCTGTCTTCTAGAAATGTATCACTGTCACTAGTTTGCTCATGGCTTTCTGTCCCATTCTCAGCTTTCCTAATGATTTGTCCCCTTTAATACCTCCACACTGCCATTTCCGTGGAATTTAGGGAGAGAAGAAGGGAGGCATACACACACACACACACACACACGTACAAATACATACATACATATATATGTATATATGTGTGTATATATGTATATGTATGTATATATACACACACTCATGCTATTTTGAATTACATGACTTTTTTGAAAATATTAGGACAAATTTTATGACAGTCACTTATATTGTTAAAAAAAAAGTTCAATTAAATTTTTAGTGATTTAAAAAAATCTGTACTTAAGGCTTCATTTCTAGTGAGGGAATAAATAATGATGTTGACCTAAATTACTTAGAGGTTAACCAAAGCCTACGAATGATTCAGATTATTTAAGCACCATCTAGTGATTGTTTATTTATTTATTTAATTAATTACTATTTTGCTTGAGTTGCTTTAAAAATAGTCATTAACTTAAAATTCTTGGGCTCTACAGACAAAAGTAGCATCACAGACTCAGAATTCTGCTTTTGCTTCATGATTGAATTTGATTACCTGTAGTAAAGTGGACAAATTGGAGTTTATTGTTATATTTATGGCTGGGTTTTCTATTTTTCTGACAGGTACAAGAGTAAACCTGATGATGACTATGAAGATCCCAAACATGTCCAAGCCATCAAAGAGGCCCAGCTGTATATGGGGGACTTCAACCTGAAGACTGCCCCAGACTATAAGATACCTGAACACATGAGAATAAATGCTGCCAAGAAGGAAGAGGACCTGGGATACCTAGACTCCGTGGTACTTACCCATAGCTTTCATGACAGTGAGAGACAGCCTGGGGTTTTTGTTGAATTATGCTAAAACCACCCATTTTGCTCTCTGGTCCATAAGAGATTATAGTCATAGAAATTTAGAGTTGGAAAAAGCCTTCCTGGTTATCTAGAATAATGCCCCTTTTTACAAATGAGGAAACTGAGTCCTGAGGAAAGAGATTTATGCATGATTATTTAGTTAATATGGCAGAACCAGCCTTCAAATTAATTGCTTGGTTTAATACCAGTTTCATGGGTGAAGGCATTCTATTTTATGGACTTTGAACTTTTGAAATTCAAACACATCCTTATTGGGTATTGTTTTTAGCTGCTGTGGACCACCAAAGACTTAGGAGAAGAGGCCACGGTGTTTAGCCTTTGTTTGAAGGACTTCCAAACTTCTGTAGGTGACTCAGTACTAAACAATTAATATATTCCTTTTTGACGCTCTCTGCTGTCTTCCAAAGTGCTTCTAATCATCCTGATTTCTCATACCTGTTTTCTTACTGAAGTTTTTCTCTCCTTGTCATAGTCATTCTTTAATTTGAATTGACAGGTGCCTTTTCATACTTAGAGGCTCAGAAGGCATCTGAGCTACCATTTTGAGGAGAATTTGGGGTTTTTTGGGGGAGGGGAGTAATTTGGTTTATTTATTTTACTTATTTCTTAGTGGAGGTACTAGGGATTGAACCCAGGACCTCGTGCATACTAAACAAGCACTGTACCACTCAGCTATACCCTCCCCACCCCTTGAGAAGAATTTTGGTCACCTAGAACGTGTGCAAGTTGCACATCTCAGGGCATCACATTGGAAAGAGTGCCAGATCATAGTATGTTTGGATATTTTATAATTTTCTGAAAAAAATTGAAGAAAAGTGTCTTGAGGAAGGAGTGTCTTTTTCTATTTTACCAAAGATGCTATACGTGCCAGCACTCCAGAGATTCTAGTATGACAATTCATAGCCACAAGTAAATTTTCATAACTCATAACTACACCTTTCTGATCAAAAGGACATTTTGAACATGTTATTAGTGACCATTTGGATTGTTCTTCTAGGTGTTTGTCTAAGGCAATGCTTGTTTCATCCATTGTCATAGAGAAATATTCTTTTGACCACAATTTGTCAGTCATCCAACCCAAAATTTCATGATCCAGCTAGAGGTGATGAACAGGTGTGATGTCTTGAAATGTATGATACTGGAATCTATTAAAAGAACAACATAAATCAATGTAGAGCACTCTCTGCAAGTCGGAAGACCAGAGTTTTGTTCCATCTCTGCCACTCAGTAGTTACGTGAACTTTGCTAGTCATGTAAATCTCCCTAAGCCTCAGTTATATTGCCTGTCAAAAAGGTATTAATACCAAGGAACAACAATTAGACAAGACACGTCTAGTCTACTTGACAGGGTTAATGTAATGGTCAAAGTCAGTAAATAGTCATTATTATCATGGTTAAATTCAAAATCATTGAAAAGTATCAAGCATTTTAGAAACAGTATATTATACATCCCCTCCCTGTGGTCAGTGTTTAGGTGTGTGTGGTATTTAGAAAACTAGAGAGAGAGCCTTGATGTGTAAATAGGGCTCCTCAAAGAGGTAGGCCTTACAGCCATGAGGCTGGTTTGGGTTTGTTCTTCTAAGCTCACTTCTCAATCCTCCAGGTACTTTCAGAAGCAGTCCTCCACTCACCCAGGAGCTGGCTTTTGAGTTTAACTCTTAAGGATTTAAAGATGTGTTCTTAAGTACGTGAAACATCCCCTCTATTTCGTTACAGGAGGTAGTAAATATGCAGGCAAGTTTTGCAAGACTACTTGAAGAAGTGCCCTTTGATCTTTTATTTTCCTTAACCTGTATATTTACACAAAGTTACTCTTAATAGCTTTAGACCACCTAGTTGCCTAACGGCACATAAGAGTAGGGCTGCATGTGCCTATAGGCTCTGGAAAGGGCACTTAGGAAACACAGACTGGGGAGAGAACTGGCAGTGAGGGAGCAGTGGCCTGTACGGCACTTGTGGCTGGAGGCAGCGGCATAGCTTGGCTTAGATAAATGGAGAAGGAACCAAGGGAGAGTACTGGAATCTCTTGGTGTGACATGATATTGAAATTCAGGATCATGACCTTGCCTGCACAAGGAGTAACAGAAATAATGTGGCCAAAATACAGAATGAAAACAGGCTAAACCGTAGTCTGGCTAGGTGGGTAGGCAGGCAATCCTAAGTGAGTCTATGCCAACGGGATTTGAGTTTCCATCAAGGAAAGGTGGTTACTTGTGTGTTCTGACCAAAGAGTGACCTTCCCTCCACCCGCCCCCCCCCCCGCCTCCCCTGGATCTGGCTGAGTACAAAGCTCAGGGAGGGCTTCCATTGACTGGTGGGAGGAGGACAGGGGAGCTCAGCCCTCCAAGCCAGCTGAGGGACATCAGGGGTCACATCCAGGCTGTCTCCCCCTTTCCAAGAGACTAAATGGGGGAAAGCCTAAAAACCAGAGGAAATAACAGTGTACTGCACAAAAATCAGATACATTTTTATCTTAAATTTTTTGCTAGGTATACCAGTCAAGGGACAAAAGCAAAGCAAAGCACCTGTGAGTGGAGTGTCATTTTGCTTCTTTCCCATTCTTTTTATCAGGCCTATTCAAAGAAAATGCACATGAACAAGTGCATCGTCTCTCTCCGAGATCTGAAGGTGGCTGTCATCGAGGAAATACAGTGCCTGGTGCAAGAACTGAAGAATATTCAGTCGACTCTTCACATATCCAAGCACGTCCCCATTCCCCAAATCCCTGAGATACACCCGGAAGAAGTTCCAGAGAAGAGATTTCAGTATGACGAGAAAACCCTCCTAGCTTTTAAGCAACAGCTGATGGAAAATCAGGATGAAAAGTCCCCGCAGGGGGAACAGGCAGGGTCTGCAGGCTCAGCTGGAGGATTCCTCAAACTCTCTTCTGGAAAGGACGGGGATTTGACGACACGTGATTCCTCGTCTAGATTGTTAAAAGCATCAACATTCAGTCTAGATATTCCAAAGTTCACGGAATTCGAAAAAGCAGATCCAACCGAAGTGGAGCTGGAGATTATGAGGAGGGATGAAATTAAACACTTGTACATGCAGCAGTATTTGATCAACAGGGTAAGCGAGGAGACTGCTTACTTAAAGCTGAAAGAGAGAAGAGCAGGGATGAACTAGATCTAGTTTCTTGTTTAGTTTTAATGTGTCTATATTAACCTTCCCCCGAACCCTGACCATCCTACAATTCACTGATGGCTTCACTGCCTCCCCATCCCTAGTCTTCTGAAAATCATTATGCTCTGCCCAGGACTTTGGAGCTTTTTGACTTTTTTTTTCTTTTTGGAAAGCTAAGAATTAAGGGCAAATCCATGTTCATTGCTATCTAACTGAGATCATGGTAAAGGGAAAGTGATGGAGCAGCCTTATCCAGACGATGGATAAAACACAATTAAGAAACTTGCAGTGACAATGGGGCACTCTCTGCTTTTTACACCTTGCTCTTTCTCTAATGTGTGCTTTGCTCTGTTCGTGGGAGTGTTCTTGGTAGCGACTAGTTTTGGAATTGTTCTGGAGCTAGAATAGCAAAAGTTTTTACTTCTAGGAAAATAAGGACCACGCTGGGGCCAGTTGTGTGCGGGAGGTGCTGTGAATATGGAAGGAAAAGGATCTCTCCTGGGTGGAGTGCTCCCTCCTGCCAGTCGTACAGAGTCTCCTTCATCAGTGTGTCTTTCGAGCTCCACTCTGAAGGCAGCCCTATTGCTTCCCAATCTTATTCTTCACCTGTTATCAGTACTTCATCCAGCCCTGTGTTCTCATTCTTCCTGTTTCTCCCCACTCACCCCCATTCTGAGTGTATAGCTGTACTTTCTCCTTTGCTATTTCTTTCTACCTGCAATAACCTCCTTCCAAAGTTGTCATCATTCAAAACCCTCTCCAGAATCTTCTGCCCACATCACATACTCTCCTTTTTTCTAAATTCCATTTGCACTTGTAATAAGCACCTCATGTTTTACACATATTTTTCTTGCTGTTTTGTCTTACAGATTAGATTTTACAGTTCTTTTAATTGAAATCTAGTTGAAGTACAATATTATATAAGTTACAGGTGTACAATATACATAATTTTTGAAGGTTATACTCCATTTGTAGTTACTATAAAATATGTGCTGTATTCCCTGTGTTGTACAATACATCCTTGTAGCTTATTTTATACCTAATAATTTATACCTCTTAATCTCCTATCTCTATAATGCCCTTTCCTCCTCCATTCTCCCCATTGGTGACCACTAGTTTGTTCTCTGTAAATGTCTGTTTCTTTTTTGTTACATTCACTAGATTTATTTTATAGAATCCATAAATAAGTGCTTACATATAGTATTTGTCTTTAACTGGCTGATTTATTTCACTAACCATAATAACCCCCAGGTCCATTCGTGTTGTTGCAAATAGCAAATTTCATTCTTTTTTATGGCTGAAGAGTATCCATTGTATATATACATACCACATCTTCATCCATTCATCTGTCAATGGACTCTTAGGTTGCTTCCATATCGTGGCAATTGTAGATAATGCTATGATGAACATTGGGGTGCATATATCTTTTCAAATTAAGAGTTTTTGTTTATTTTGGATATATACCCAGAAGTAGGAATTGCTGGGTCATAAAGTAGTTCTATTTTTAGCTTTTTGAAAAACCTCCATACTGTTTTCCACAGTGGCTGTACCAATTTATATTCCCACCAGCAGTGAGCAAGGGCTCCCTTTTCTTCATGTTTTTGCCCACATTTGTTATTTGTGTTCTTTTTGATGATAACCATTCTGACAGGTGTGAGTGATACCTCACTGTGGTTTTGATTTGTATTTCCCTGATGATTAGTGATGTTAAGCATCTTTTCATGTGCCTTTTGGCCATCAGTATGTTTTCTTTGGAAAAATGTCTATTCAGGTCTTCTACCCATTTTTCAATCAGGTTTTTTTTTTTTTGATGTTGAGTTGTCTGAGCTGTTTATATATTTCAGATATTAACCCCTTATGGGTCATATTATTTGCAAATATCTCCTCCCACTCAGTAGGTTGTCTTTTCATTTTGTTTATGGTTTCCTTTGCTGTGTGAAAGCTTTCAAGTTTAATTAGGTCTCATTTCCCTATTTTTGCTTTTGTTTCCTTTGCTTTAGAAGACAGATTAAAAAAAATATTGCTACGATTTATGTCAAAGAGTGTTCTGCCTGTTTTCTTCTGGGAGTTTTATAGTTTCCAGCTAACATTTAGAGCTTTAATTCATTTTGAGTTTATTTTTGTATATGTTGTTAGAGAATATTCTGATTTCATTCTTTACATGTAGCTGTCCAGTTTCCCTAGCACCATTTATTGACAGGGCTATCTTTTCTCCATGGCATATTCTTGCCTCCTTTGTCATAGATTAATTGACCATAAGTGTATAGGTTTATTTCTGGGCTCTGTATTCTGTTCCAATGATCTATGTGTCTGTTTTTGTGCCAGTATCATACTGTTTTGATTACTGTAGTTTTGTAGTATAGTCTGAAGTCAGGGAGCATGATTCTTCCAGCTCCTTTATTCTTTCTCAAGGTTGTTTTGGCTATTCAGGGTCTTTGGTGTTTTCATACAAATTTTAAAATTATTTATTCTAGTTCTGTGAAAAATCCCATTGGTATTTTGATAGGAATTGCATTGAATCTGTAGATTGCCTTGAGTATTATGGTCATTTAAAAAATACTCATTCTTCCAGTCCAAGAACATGGTATATCTTTCCATCTGTTTTGGTCATCTTCCATTTCTTTCATCAGTTTCTTAGTTTTCCAAGTACTGGTCTTTTACCTCCTTAGGCAGGTTTATTTCTAGGTATTTTGTTCTTTCTGATGCCATGGTAAGTGGGATTGTTTCCTTAATTTAACTTTCTGATAGTTCGTTGTTAGTGTATAGAAATGCAACTGATTTCTGTATAGTAATTTTGTATTCTTCAAATTTACCAAATCCATTGATGAGCTCTAGGAGTTTTCTGGTAGCATTTCTAGGATATTCTATGTATAGTATCATGTCATCTGCAAACAGTGACAGTTTTACTTCTTTCTTTCCAATTTGGATTCCTTTTATTTCTTCTTCTTCTCTGATGGCTGTGGCTAGGACTTCCAAAACTATGTTGAATAAAAGTGGTTAAGAGTGGGCATCCTTGTCCTTCATCTTAGAGGAAATGCTTTTAGCTTTTCACCATTGAGTATGATATTAGCTGTGGGTTTGTCATGTATGGCCTTTATTATGTTGAGATATGTTCCCTCTATGCCCACTTTCTGGAGAGTTTTTATCATAGATGAATGTTGAATTTTGTCAAAAGCTTTTTCTGCATCAACTGAGATGATCATATGGTTTTATCCTTCAGTTAATGTGGTGTTATCACATTGATTGATTTATGAATATTGCATTATCCTTGCATCCTTGGAATAAATCCCACTTCATTAGTTTATGGCCCTTTAAATATACTGTTGGATTCATTTGCTAGTATTTTGTTGAGGATTTTTCCATCTATGTTCATCAGTGATATTAGCCGGTGTGTTCTTTTTTGTGTGATATCTTTGTCTGGTTTTGGTATCAGGGTGATGGTGGCCTCATAGAATGAGTTCAGAAGTGTTCTTTTCTCTGCAGTTTTTTGAAATAGTTTGAGAAGAGTAGATATTAACTCTTCTCTAAATGTTTGGTAGAATTCACCTGTGAAGCCATCCATCCTGGACTTCTGTTTGTTGGGATATTTTAATTAATTCAATTTCATTAATGGTAATTGGTCTGTTCATATTTTGTATTTCTTCCTGGTTCAGTCTTGGGAGACTGTACTTTTCTAAGAATTTGTCCATTTCTTCTAGGTTGTCCATTTTATTTGCATAGTTATTCGCAGTAGTCTCCTATGATCTTTTGTATTTCTGTGGTATCAGTTTAACTTCTTTTTCATTCCTGATTTTATTGATTTGGGTCCTCTCCCTTTTTTTCTTGATGAGTTTAGCTAAAGTTTTATCAATTTTGTTTGTATTTTCAAGGAACCAGCTTTCAGTTTCATTGATCTTTTCTTTTTTTTTTTTTTTTTTTTTTTAGTCTCTGTTTCATTAGATTATACAATTCTTGAGGGAAGGGCCACATGTACTTCTTCTGATTCCCCTGCACTGTCTGGGACAATGCCAGATATATAGTAGATAGTAAAAAAGTTTTGATTTAATTTTACCTAATTCATTTATTTTATTAATTTAACAAATATTTATTGCACAGGGACAGTGCTAGCTAGGAATTAGGGATGCAACAATTCTCAAGTCAGACAGGTTCTCTATCCTCATAAAGCTAACAGGCTATGAAGGGTAGTGAGAATAAAACAAGTGTAACCCTTACAAACTTGGATACCTATGTAGTAAAGTTTCAGAATGATGTTGCACTAAAAAAAATATAGTCCTGCCTCCTACGAAATTTTAAAATAATTCAAATTTGTTGAACAAGCATTAAGGGAGAACCTACTTAGTCTACAGTCATTCATAATTAAAGGTTTAATTTTTCGTCTCCTTGGCTTGTTGGGGTTTTTTTGATCTCTGAAATTCTCCAGCAATTTCGCTACCCCATACCCACAGATATCATCCTCTTTCTCAGGTCCCAGGCTGAGCCCTCACTCATCATATGCATTTGCTCATTGAGGCTCCCCATCATGTGCAGCCTAATGAAAAACATGGAGTGATTTGTCTTTTTCTTGTTGTACTAGTTCCCTTGGGAGAATCAGCCCTTGGGGTCTCTCCCTTGAGATCTTCATCTCCTTTGGGATGAAGTGAAGGAGAAGCTATATCAAAATCAGAGCAAAACTGAGGATTTAAAATTATTCGGGATGACAGTGGAATAAAGTCTAGACCAGGACTTGGGATATTTAGCTTCTCATCTTAGTTCTGTAACAAATTAGTTGTAATCTCAGGGAGATCACTTTTAGTCTCAATTTCTTCATCTGTAAATAAACTAAGAAGATTGAATGGGTTTCTTGTGGCTCCATGATTATATTTATCTATTAAAAACATTTACTATTCTATAGGTTTGAAAATTTTCAAAATAAGATGAGGAAAATGTTTTTAGTTCTTACTGTATGAAGGGCAATGTAGAGATACTGTGGGGAGAGTGGAGACGGATATAAACACTACCCACAAAGAGCTCATAGTCTCCAGTTTAAACCAGCAAGAAGGACATTCCTGATCAATGGCTTAATGGTGAAGAAATAGCTGGAAGGACTGCAGTTGCAGAATTCCTACCACTTAATAAATTAATTTATGTACATGTAATACCATCGATGAATTGATTGCTGTGACTCCGTACATGCACATGTGCCCACCTGCCCATCCTTATAATTTTCCATTCATGATAACGGCGTAATAGGAAAAGTCTTTTACCCAAACAAATTAGTGTTGTTGGATCATTTTAAAAAATGCAGTTACATCTTTTTAACTTCTAACATATTCTCAAATCTTTTTCCACCTCAGATCAAAGAACTGATTGTCACTTTTGATGCAGAACTCCGTCTCCTGAGACATCAGAAACTGAAACTAGATACTCAGATGAAATTATCTGACCTGCACCATGTCACGTTATTTCAGGAAATACTTCTCCTCAAGAATTTTGAAAAACAGGAGAACATACTTCAAGAGCGTGTTAATTCATTAGACAAAGAGGAACAGGACATGCAGGTAAGAATGGGCAGAAGAACACTAGCTGGCTACACCCTTAGTTAGGGGAAGAACTTGATCCTTCTTTCTTCCTCTTCTCAACTTAATTTCCCTCCTCGTTCGAGTCCACATCTCTTTCTGCCTTCTTTTCTGCCTCCTTTTACCTGTTAATCTTGCTTGTTCTCTGTTTTGGGTGTCCATGGTCAGAGAATCTGTATGTTTTATGATTTTGAATCCTGTTTGAATCATGTTTTTTTAATGAATTTGATTTGATATTTTGTAAGGTAGGAGAATAGAGTTTTTCAAAGTGAGCCTTATATTTGGTTCACCTATGGATTTCAAAATTCAGAAGTTGGTATATTTTTGTTGTCACTAGCTATCTTATGAAGTTCATTATTGATTATATATTATCCTTATGAACATACTTGGAAAAGAAGCTAGTGAATTTCCTAAATATGAGAGCTAGTTTCAGAATAATATATAATTGAATAGCATAGGAAATTAAGTTTCTTTTTTGTTTTATATATATAATGTTAAATTTAAAGAGGTCAATTATACCATCTTTCTTGATGTTAAAGGAAGAAGGATTCTATTAAATAGATAAGACATACTCAACAGTGACATTAAATTTTAGATATATCAGCTTCATCAAGAGATGATGTGCCTTTTTGTTTTAGTTATCTTACATTGATAATGAAAGAAAAAACTTTTTTTGAGACCACATATGGAAAAATACTACCTGACATCCTCATATTGGTAAAATTTTCAATTTATTTAATTTAGATTTTTTGAGGAAGTTAAACATCAGAAAATCGATCCTGTCTGATTCTGAACTTAACTGACTTTTACAAGAGAATTATAAAATTTTAACCAAATACGTGAATGACTCTGCAAACATCAGGAATGTAAACTTCTATTAAGAAGCTTTAAAAAATGTTTGTCGACTGCAGACTTACATTGTAATGTGCATTGTTCTCTGAACCCAGCTTATCAGAAATATTGCATTTATCATTTGTTCTTGTTTCTGTTCATTTAGTGGAAAATAAATGAAACTCTTAAAGAGATGGAAGAGAAGAAGAATGAAGTTGCCAAGCTTCAGGAGCAAGAAAAGGCCCTCTATGCTGGTTTCCAAGCAGCTCTTGGAGAAAACAATAAATTTGCTAACTTCCTCATGAAGGTATTAAAGAAGAGGATTAAGCGGGTAAAGAGAAAGGAAGTTGAAGGAGATGCTGGTTTGTATTTCTTTCTTACGTATGATCCTTTTTTTTTCTCATGAGGATGAAGGAGAGTGATAACTAAGAGACATACTACACACCTTTTTTCTCACTACAACATAGACATTGTAGAGGCACTATGGGGTTAAAGAGAAGAGGATATAAACCTTTAGGTCTCTAACCACCGAGGGTATGAGTGTGCGTGTCTGGTATGAGATAGCATAGGGTAGTTTTGTTTAATAAGCACATCTTTTCATGTGTTTATTTGCCAACTGTATATCTTCTTTGGTAAAATCTCTCTTCATGTCTTTTGCTCATGTTTGAATAGGATTGTTTTCTTTTATATTGTTGAGTTTTAAGAGTTCTTTATCCTCCATACTAATCCTGTGTCAGATATGTGGTTTGCGAATATTTTCTCCTGGTCTGTAGCTTGTCTTTTCATTCCCTTAAAAAAGTCGTTTGCAGAGCAGTAGTTTTGAATGTTGTCAATGTCAGTTTTTCCTTTTTTGGATCTTATTTTGTTGTCAAGTCAAAGAGCTCTTTGACTAGCCCTAGGTCCTAAAGATTTTCTCCTATTTATTTTTCTAAAAGTTTCAGAGTTTTATATTTAACACTTAAGTCCCTGATCCATTTGAAGTTAATTTTTTGTATAAAGTGTGAGACTTAGGTCAAGGTTATTTTTTTTTCCTCCTCCTAGGAATGTCCAGTTGTTTTAACACCAGTTGTTGAAACAGCTGTATCTCTCCCATTGAATTGCTTTTGATCTTTACAAAAATCATTTGGGCCTATTTGTGTGGATCTGTTTCTGGATTTTCTATTCTGTTCTAGAATATGTGTGTATCTCTTCACCAATAGTAATGTCTTGATTATAGTAGCTATTGAGTTCTGACATCATGTAGACTAATTCCTCCAATTTTATTCTTTTTTTTTTCAAAATTGTTTTAGCTCTTCTAGTTCCTTTATATTTTCATATTTTAGAATTTTTTATATCTACAAAAAATCTTGTTGGAATTTTGATAGAAATTATGTTAAACCTTTATATCATTTTAGGGAGAATTGGCATCTTTACTATGTAGAGTCTTCCAAGCATGAACATAGTATTTATTTAAAACTTGGATTTCTGTCACCAGCATTTTATAGTTTTCAACATACAGTTCACGTTCATGTTTGTTAGATTGACACCAGAATATTTTCTTTTTTGAGTGATTTTAAATGCTATTTTATTTTTAATCTTGGGGTCCACATATTCATACTAGTATATAGAAATACAATTTCTTTTTAGGTGTTTATCTTTTATCTTGTGACCTCACTTATTTGTTTTAGGAGTCTTTGATAGATTCCTCGGGAATTTCTATCTGTATAAAGGGGCAGTTTTATTTTTAAATTTCTGATCAGTATGCCAATTACCTTTCCTTGCTTATTGCACTGTTAGAACTTCCAGTACTATGTTGAAATGGAGTGCTGGGAGCCAACATCCTTGCCTTATTTCCATCTTAGCAAAGGAGAGCATTTGATCTTTCACTCATTAAGTATGCTACCTGTACCATTAAAAAACAACTGTAGGTGTCTCATAGATATTCTTTATCAAGTTGAGGAAATTCTTTCTTGTTCCTACTTTTCAAGAATTTTTATCGTGAATGTTAGATTTTACATTATAGTCCCACAGTTCCCTGAGGCTCTGGGGTTTGGGCTTTGTTTTCTTTCTGTTGTTCAAATTGGCTAATTCCTGTCGTCCTGTCTTCAAGTTCATTGCTTCATTTCTCTGTCCTCTCCCATCTGCTATTGAGCCCATCCATTAGATTTTATTCTAATTACTGTATTTTTCAGTTGTAAATTTTCCATTTAGCTCTTCTTTATATAAAAAATAAATAGGCTGAGACTTTATTTCTTTGAGGCGTTGTATTTTTTCATTTGCTTCAAGTGTGTTTATAATTGCCTATAGAATCATTTTTATCATGACTATTTAAAATCCTCTGTCAGGTAATTCTAACATTTGTCTTCTTACTGTTGACATTTACTGGTTGTCTTTGCTCATTCAGTTGGAGGGTCTTCCTGGTCCTTGGTATGGTGAGTGACTTTCAATTGAAACCTGGAAACTTTCATGTCATGTGTGAGACTCTGTCTCTTATTTAGATCTTCTGGCTTATACTTGGATTTCTCTAACACTGTTCTGCCAGAGAGAGGAATGGGGGCCTACTTCCTACTGCCAGGTGGAGGTACTCAGTCTAATTGTCACCCAAGGGAAGGGAGCTCTCCTTGTTACTGCTGTGTGCAGGTGGGAGTTCTAGCTTCCCACATAGTCTCTGCTGACAATGTGGTGGAGAAGGCCTTGGCACCTCGGGGCAATGGTAAACGTCCTGACCCTTTTTTTTTTTTTTAACCTTTTTCATTGATTTATAATCATTTTACAATGTTGTGTCAAATTCCAGTGTTCAGCACAATTTTTCAGTCATTCATGGACATATACACACTCATTGTCACATTTTTTTCTCTGAGTTATCATAACGTTTTGTGTTTATTTCCCTGTGCTATACAGTGTAATCTTGTTTATCTATTCTACAATTTTGAAATCCCAGTCTATCCCTTCCCACCCTCCACCCCCCTGGTAACCACAAGTCTGTATTCTCTGTCTGTGAGTCGTACAAACAAACAAAAACAAAGCATAAATACAGGACGTCCTGACTCTTTACGAGGGCTCCTCTGACACCACCTCTGCAGGGCGGGGGAAGAGAACCTGTCACTGCCATCTGAGAGTGGAAGTCTGAGCTACCTGTGTGGTCTCCACAGAGATCTTGGAGTGGGGAGTTGGGGGAGGGGACTGGTTACCACTCAACAGGAATAAATGTCCTTGGTGCTTACTTGGCCTTTTCTGACACCATTCTAGTGGCAGTGGTGGGGTGCCTCACTCCAGCTTGGTGGATGTCTAGTCTCCCACTTGGCCTTTGCTGATGGGGAGGCGAGTAAGACTACAGTTTGTTTTTTTCCTGTGGTGTTTTTTCAAGTTTTCTGCCTTCTTGGCTGCTCTTTCCTGGTCGTTTGCCTAGAGAGAGCAGGTTCTTGTTGGCTTTTCTGTATCTGCACCTGTCAGTGCTTCAGGTTGCTAACTTAGCCTTCTCCACCTCTGAGATACAAAAGAGGACCCAAGGAACTCACCACAGTGCTGTTCTTCAGGGGCCAAGGTGCATAGTAGGTCTACTGTCTTCTTTCTGCTTTTCAGAATCTTCCTGTGTTTGCTTTACATATAGTATCCAGGGTTTTTAGCTGTATTTAGTGGGAGAAATAGGGAAAGGTAGAGTGACTTCATCTCCCTGAAATCACGAGTTTATCTAAGAATATTAAGTTCTAATTTTAAACTTTGCTATTTTATTTCATAAGGTGGTACAGATCAC